ATTAACTTACTTTCTATTGTAACTTTTTTCACCTTGTGAATAAATAAAACAACAACTACAACATGGAAAACGTAGTTGGGAGGGGTGGTGGATTACACAGAAAACAGATTGTTCTGAGATCACTTTTATTTTCACATTTAATCTTAGCACATTCTGTTAATATTTGTTCATGATAACTTTTAAATTTTAAATCAAAAAAGAAAATTTCAACATGGCAAATAAATAAATTGTAATGCCCACTCAAAAAAAACCCCTACTTTTAATGAAAGTTCAGTGGAAATTACCCTGAAAATATAGCAGAAAAAACGAAAACTATCATTATTCAATGTGATTGAACATTGTATTTCCTCTATTACCATATATATTACAAAAAAATATACCATAAATTACAAAAAAATTTCTATGGTCAAAATAAGACACAGAATACCATACAAGAAAAGTATGTGTTTTATGTAAGCTTCTATTGGAGATGCGCTTCTAATAGAGTAAATATAGTATTCATGTTACTGGGCTTTCACAAAGGATAAAATAGATTTAGCCATTACAAATGAAACTTTTTTCTTAGCTACTTTGCAAAGATTGGGTTCATTTTTTTAGCGGCATCTTTAGCCAAATACATAAATGTAATTCACCTGTGGAGACTTTGAAAGATTAGCAGAAGCCTGGACTGACCACTGCACTTTAGTTTTTGCTATCTTTAACCTATTTGGATAATAGCACAACTCTTACGGTAAATGATGACTATTTTCTAAGGAATAATTTATGGTCAAAAATTAGTCTTAACAATTGGTGTTGAAAGTGATATGCGTTGCAGCCAAATCGAGAGTAGTCATTTGCGACTGAAAAGGGTTTGCAAGTGCAACAATAGTGCTCTCCGCAAGAAAATAGCATACCATAGTGGAGGCAACTATTATATAATGCTCTGGGAAGAACTCAGACTTAAAAGTTGAATGATATGTATAACACATAATCATGCCATTTGGGATTGAAGAGTTTTCCACAGGATACATACAGCACGGCGACAGTGTTTTGTTTACTGCCACCACAGACACTGGCAGTCAATAAGCTGTATACCACAACCATTTATTACCATGTGCTCCATGTCCAATATTGCAATTTCTGTTTTGAATGATTATGCAAATTACTATGCAAATACTCACCACCACAGTGGTTTACATGTCCGGAGAGAACACAGGCAACGCCTAACTCATAGATTTTATTCTCTTAGTATACAGTACTGATAGCTTTACATGTACTGTATTCTATTATGCCTACATATAGATTTAAATTTCTATGGTGGCAGCAGTTGCCAATCAAGTTTCTGTTTTCATACAACCACCACCACCAGTCCTCTGAGATTCTGCATTTCACTGTTACATTCACATGTTTAAGACATCCATGTCAAACAATATTGATTCGTGGTCAATCTCACCATCCAAAAGCTGAAGTGAGGTACATTATAGTAAAATAACCTACTTGATCATTTCAGTGTTTCAACACTGTGTCACGAGACTAGACTGGTGTTAGTAACACTAATTGCATTAACATTGCATGGCGTCAAAGTATTCCACACCAGCACATACACGTTGATGAGTACGGGTTGTACATGTATGTCTTTTTGTGTACAATACAGTACTTTATTTCACTTGAAATTTAATTTTGCTGAATGAATGAAATGAAAATACCTTTTTGGTACACTCTACGGTACATCAAAAAGCAGTGAAAACAAATCTCGTTCTAAACAGCCAAAATGACATTTCAGATAAAATTAATTCCAGATAAAATAAAGTATTTTACAATAAATTAATATATGACAGCCATACTTTCAACAAAAGGGAGGGAGTTACTATTCTGCACTAGCTTTTAAATTTTTTTTCTTATTTCACTCAAGTATCTCTTCAAGTGAGAAGGTGCTCATTTGTAATTACTGTTGAGTACTAAATTTCAATATCGTGTTTTTGAATTCTGGGTAAAACAATGTATTATACATGTCACACTATTACCACCACTGTTTAAATCACAATACACAATTGACAGGAAAATCTGTGAAAACTTGTTTTTCCCCTGTTGCTTCTTCAAATTACCATATTTGTTGTACCATGTCATGATCGATAAGGATATCAAAGGAAGTACGTAATGCATGTAAAAATATTTTTTTTCTCAGAATTCTGTAAATGATTCCAGTCTTTAAAATACCCTATCAAATGCTGCATCATTTGATGCCACAGCACGCTGTTGCTGCTGCTGAGCTGGAGGCTGAGCTCCTCCTTGTTGATAGCGACGACGTGGAGGAGCCAAGTATTCGAACATTGACATATTGTGAGTGGACAACATCTTGGCCAGACTGCTTGGCATGGGATCCATCCAAAAGAAATCATGATTCAATGCTGCATCACTATCCAAACGCTGTGCTGGATCCAGAGACAACAACTTGTCAATTAAATCTAGCGCATACTGGTCTCTTACATACGCTTTTAGTCGCTCTTTAACTTTGCGTTTCTGTCCCTTGGGAAGCTCCAGCTTGCTATACAACTCCAGCTTATCAACATCAGGCCATACTTCAGTAGAAATAGAACCACAGAGATGTGTTATCAGAGTCAATTGATGTTGTTCTGTATTTCCTTGCATAATAGGACTCCGTGTCCACATCTCGGCCAAAATACAACCTGCACCCCAAAGATCAATAAGAGGACCATAATTCCTTTCACCGAGCAGCAACTCAGGTGGTCTGTACCACAATGTCACTACACGATTAGTATATCTATTACTGCCAGAAGCTTTAGAAATACTGAAAGCCCTTGCCAAACCAAAATCTGCAAGTTTCAGTACTCCGTTCTTGGTAATCAGAATATTCGCTGCCTTCATATCTCGATGTAGCACTTTATTGCAATGGATGTAATAGAGAGCATTTAACAGTTGTCGCATCACTTCCTTTATTTCACCTAAACTAAATTTCACATTGTGATTACTGAGAAGTCCTGCCAAGTCATGTTCACAGAATTCAAATACTAAGTAAATGCTGCCTTTATATCTGTTGAACTGATTAGCTGTGGAAAGAGCAGAGTATAAAAATCACTGTAACAATATTGTGAAAAATGTTGCGCATTAATTAGTTGTGGATGTTAAAGGGTGGTGGTCGTCGCACCATGTGTATGTGAGATATGGGACTTGTATCAACAAAGACGGTGCCAACTGATATGTTACCAAGCTTTAACTATGTAATTTATTAGGTGATTGAAAGGCATTGGAAACTCATCGACAGTAATTAGTTAACGTAGCGCCCAGGGCAAAACTCGTACTTGTGATTTCCATTACAAGAGCGCATTGGATTGTGGGAAAATCAATGTTTATCACCATAAATGTCAGACATGCGCGGCACGACGACCACTATCGGTGGTACATGTACAACAGTTGGCTTGTACACATGTGCTGATTACTTTGTATATCTTCATAAATCATGTGTTTGTTATATGTTGCTTTGAATATCTCCAAATATGCACAGTACCTTTTGTTCGACAAATCTCATTTAAGTTCACCACATTTTCATGTTTTAAGAGTTGTAGAATTCTTATTTCCCTCAAGGCAGTGATAGGAAACTGAAATAAAACAGAAAGCATGAGACCATAGAGTCACTACAAACACCTACTTATTTCATTCACTAATCTGTATTTTGAACAAAGTAATGAAAATCAGAAAACTTGAGAAGTGTAAATTGTACATTTCCATAAATTATCATAATCCCTTACACAATTCTTGTATATTGCATCATCTGTGACATAATTTAAATCTATTTTGATCTGCAGTCGTCCATCAGTGAAAATGATGTTTTTGAGAGATTTTATCCGAGATGAAAAACAAAAAACAATTGGTAGAATTAAACAACATTGCCTATACATGTACCTCAAATTGGAGGTGCGGTTACCATTAGGATTTTAACAGTACTTCAAATTTTGAGATCACAGAAACACTCCCTCACTGGAAGGTACAATTTGTTGCAATGGTGTATTCGTTTCACCACCAGATCTCTGGCAAAATAGTAATTTAGACATTTTTTGCTATCATCTTTTATCCACCTGGCAGGAAATGGTAACATTCAAATGCTACCAATCCACCTTCTAATTGATATCTACATAGTAGTTGTATGTTTTGACTCTCCATTTTCTATATTTCACCATGCTTTGGTTTTTGATAAATGGCATCAGAGCTGAAAATTGGTCTTCTAAACACAGTAACAAGAATGATTATGCTATTAAAATCTCTTATGAATTGGGAAACTGATAATTAGCTGCTCTAGGTCTTGATTTAGGAGAGTGTTAGGCGAGTGAAGTCATCACCAAACCAAGTCTGGTTTCATATTTTCTGTTTGATATGATACCAACTCCACTATGATTCAACCAATTTAGTCACCTCCGAAAATAAACATTTTGTTATGGTACTGTTATGGCACTAGTTTTTTTCTTCAAGTTTGAATTTGCAGTTGAATAAAAACATATCAAACAGATCAGATAATATATTACAGGATATAACACTGCAATGTAGAAAAGTGTAGAGTAGAATCAAATTATGAATCATCACTGGTTTAACCATAGACAGTATAGTAGGAAGGACAAGCAGAGTGGGCTGAAAAAAAAGTTAAGCTGATTTAAACTAACCGTTAACATAAACTAAATGTTTATTTGGATTTCTCGTAAAATGCGTGTTTTTAGGCGGCGAGAGTCATGAACTCTCATGAAATGCGTGATTTCGTTGACGAGAGTTGCCTACTAGTAAGGTATTCTAGAAGTCTTTGCGAATATATTACAATATATTTATTTATACAAATACACAACTGTGCATAAATTTTTACAATACAAAGACCTAATGTTGACAAAGTGGTCCATTCAAGACTTCATATCTTTTGAGCTCAGTTCTCAAAGCCTTATTGATACTCTCTCGACACAAATCGTCTCCCAGATCCCATCCTGCCTCGATGATGCTTCTGGATATTCTTCAAAGGAAACTTTTCTTACTGCAGCTACAATTTTTTGATTTAATGGTAATTTTGCTTTTCCGTTATTGCTTGCACCATTGATATTTGTTCCTAATCGGTCAGTTTTCTGTATTAGTTCGAAGATGAGTCGTTTTGCGAAGTTCTCTCTGCTCCTTACTACTAGTTTTATTGTTGCAATTAGATCTCTTGATATTTCATATGAAATGTCATTTGTTTCATTTGTTGCTGGTTGTGTTGCTGGCTGTGTTGCTGGCTGTGGTACTGGTTGTGCTGGCTGTGCTGCTGGCTGTGGTACTGGTTGTGCTGGCTGTGGTACTGGCTGTGCAGGCTGTGTTGCTGGTTGTGCTGCAAGAGATGCTGGCTTTTCCATAGGTAATGCTATATGTGCTGTATTGGCAGTTTGTTCAGGCTCAAGTGAGGTCAATGGTACTGTCAGTTCTTCACTTGCACTTGCAGTTGCAGTATTCATGGGCCGCTGTGGTGATTGGAAAAAAGTTCCAGTCAACGAAAGATTTGGTTATGGATCATCTCTGCTTGTTAAAAAATAGGCCAATGGCCTGTTACTCAACGGCTATTGAACAAAAGATTAGTGCTGTATATGACAAATACCCCAAAAAGCAGTGAGTGAGACAATAAAACATAATGCTAAAAGTGGAATTTTTTACAAAAATAACAGAAATATTCAATAAAATTAGAATGAAAGAGAGCTGAAAAAGAACTCCAGCGTGTTGAGAGAATAACATAACATGGTATTTGCAATTATCTGAATTCGTAATACATGTATTTACCAAGTTTTGTTGAAATATTTTGAATGGTTCTTGAAATAGCACCCAAATAGCTTATATTTCACTAGCTGATATGCAAATTAGATAATTTGCATAAATTTCCATCAAAAACTAAATATATCTGGAAACTTCCCCAACACATCTATGCACCAAAATATTTGCTAAAAAGCATTGGAAATAGTGGTTAGTTGAAATTCCATTTTTAACCAAAAATGACAAAAAATGATTAAAGATATGGTCATGGGATGAACAAATCTAGTACATACACACCAAGTATCAAAGCATTCAGGCTACTGGTTTTGAAGAAGAAGTCGAAAATAGAATTTTTGACTAAAAATTACCATTTAAAAATATTTGCCAAAATTAGGAAATTGAAAATTTCCTTACCGAATTAATACAAGCAGCCTATCGGCTGAGATAGCTCCGCTGTTAGCAATGCACATTTCAATTAAAGAACTGAAGACATCATTAGAAAATGAACAATATGAGTAGTATCAAAGCAATGGGACTTACAGTTTTTAACAAGAAGTCGAAAATATCACTTTTTACCAAAAATGACAAAAATATTCACCAAAATTAGAGAACTGAAGATATCATCACAAAATGAACAAATCTGAGAAAGGTCTACATGTAGTATCTATATATGTAATATCAAAGCATTCGGACTTACAGTTTTCAACAAGAAGTCGAAAATATCACTTTTTACCAAAAATGACAAAAATATTCACCAAAATTAGAGAATTGAAGATATCAACATGAAATGAACAAACCTAAGAGAGGTCTACCCAAGGTACATATACACCAAGTATCAAAGCATTCAGGCTTGTAGTTTTCAAGAAGAAGTCGAAAAAGTAAAACATTGACACGGACGACGGACAATCACTCATATGATAAGCTCCGCTCGACAAAGTCGACAGCGGAGCTAAAAACTGATAGAGGACAACATAAGGCAAATGCACTATCAATATCAGCACTGTAGACCACTTAGTGTCATAGTAGCATAGAAGAAATTTTAGAGTTTTGGGGGGCTAATTTGCATAATTTTTGGCAGATCGACTTCTCCTGAACAAATTACCATCTACACTCATCAAGGCATCCACACACTAAAAATCGAGTCAAACGGTTCGGCGTTTTTTGAGAAGAAGTCGTGCACAGACAGACAGACAGACAGACAGACGGACGACAGACGCAGGACAGAAACCCATCCCTATGCTCCTATAGAAACCTATGGTCCGTTGAGCCAAAAATCCAAAATTGTGGAAACTGCTGATTTAATTTCAATTTTAACTGTCTCTATGATGTCACGCTTTAAGTCTTCAACCTGCACTTGAAGACATCACATCTCAGATTCATGTCTTTCAGCCATTTTTTTAATGAACAATTCTTTTTGCTCATCGGTTAAACCTCTGTGGTAACTTGGTGGTGGCATGGTAGCACTGTTATCCAGTACAGCAGCATGTGGTTTCTAAAATACATAATAAAAGAATTAGTCTAGATTAAGAATAATGAGAAATGCTATTTCTATATACAATCATAGTAGTTTTTGTTGTGCACATTTAAATAAGTGCCTAATGAAATTTATGCTGCTAAAAAAAAATCTTTGTTTACACTCGCAAAATTTACAGTATTACCGTTAAAATCCTATTATAAACCGCGGTTTACATTACAATGTATCAAATAAAAAATTGGGATCAACAGCTCAAGTTTGGGGTGCGGTTTATATTAGGGACATATTGCAATCACTAAATGGGCGTGGTGATTTTTTCCCCACATCACTTGCACAAAACAAACAATACACCGTACAATCTTTTGAATATAAGCTAACTCCAATTTTGATGTCAGGGAAGAGTGATAAGCGTCACGTCACAAAAAAACTGTTCATAAGAAAAAAAATACTCGGTATATTTAATGTAATATGCATTTATTTTTTTAATTTTAAGTTTCAAATAAAAACAAACATTAAAGGGGAACTAAATAGAGCCTATTTTGGTATTTATCAAGTTATGTATATTGATTATAAATTTGAAAAAAAAATGATTATCTTCAGAGTTATGATGATTTAAACCTGCGAAGGACTTCCGTTTGCGCCATCTTGCCATCAAAAAAACGCCCTCATGAGGTATAAACAGGTAAGGTAACAAAGCATGATGACGAAATAGTATCTGATTAAATATAAGCAACTAGGGAGCCATAGTTGGCTGGACTGGTGAATTGACTTCTGTCTAGGTTGTTTCGACTTTTACGTTAATGTTACAAGCGTATCAACATACAAACATTATGGATGTGCGATTGATCGTTTTTTTTGTTTTTTTTTCTAACTGTCTAATAAATGCCGTTTCCAGTACTGCTCTGTGCGGTGTGCAAATTATTCAAAGTATAGATGCTGGAGTATGCAATCTTGAGTTCGTAGAGTGATGGTGGAAACATTTTCGTCCATGTATTCACAGGGCTGCACTGGCAAATCATGGGACAAGTGTCACAGGAACACCAAGCAGATTGTTCACAGACTTCTGTGTAATTTGAAATAAAACTATCATCCGAACAAGGGGCATCGTCGACGATATACTCTCATCACTCACACTGGACTGATCTGAATCTTCACAGTATACCGTACTTCCCTGATCATAAGCCGGTTAATAGTAACCGTGGGTAAACTGTGGAGGAAGAATTTAAACATCTTTCTCGGTCGCCAACATGTCTCATCGTTCAAACCCTAGGCCTTTCATGATAGTCTCAAAGTAAACCATGCCCAATAACCAGGTACACGACTTAACGATCACATTTTTGACTTTTCGAAAGCTACTACTCAAAGAAATAGGGA